CTAGAGCCGTTTCCCATCGCCGGTTACGGTGGTAGGAGGACGGCCACGAGGACACAACTTTTAAGAGTACGCAGTTTGTTATCATTAACAGAAGACCAACAAGCCTGCCAACGGGTAAGGATGGAGGAATGAATAACTGGGTAAAAGTCGGAATAAGGAATACTTTTACGAGAGATGGGACAAGAGCGGACAGCCTCCCTAGCGGCAGCATTCGCACGCTCATTTAAAGAGACACCAATATGGCTGAGAACCCAGCAAAACTCAACCGACTTAAGTTTACTGTTAATAAGAAACAGCCAATGTTGTATCTCGACAACCACTGGATGAACCAGATTAAAGGACCCGAGAGTCATGAGGGCACTACGAGTCAACGACAACTACAAAGGAAGATTGACAACGAGAAAGCAGGAGACGAAGAGCATAGAGAATAGCCGGTCCCAGAAAGGTGTACGTGAGCCCCCTCACCACGACAAGGAAACACAATGAGGGGGGGGGGGAAGTTGTCTGAAATTAAATTATTTCTAGCTGTGACATGAATACCATTAAAGTTTTTTTAACAATACATTTATTCATAAAAAAATACACAAACAATACTGTATTACAGTACAATACATTCAATGAACAGTTTTGACATTTTATATATATATATATATATGCAAACAAGCCTGAATGGTCCCCAGGACTATATACAACTGAAAACTCACACCCCAGAAGTGACTCGAACCCATACTCCCACAACTGGTATGTACAGGGACGCCTTAATCCGCTTGACCATCACGACCGGACATAAGGAAGTGATAGCCGAGGCTATATGAACCACTTCCCCGCCGGCACTCGGATGGTAATCTTGGGCATAGCATTTTATCAAATCACCTCATTCTTTGGGGCACACGTGAGGAACACAAATGCAAACAAGCCTGAATGGTCCCCAGGACTATATACAACTGAAAACTCACACCCCAGAAGTGACTCGAACCCATACTCCCACAACTGGTATGTACAGGGACGCCTTAATCCGCTTGACCATCACGACCGGACATAAGGAAGTGATAGCCGAGGCTATATGAACCACTTCCCCGCCGGCACTCGGATGGTAATCTTGGGCATAGCATTTTATCAAATCACCTCATTCTTTGGGGCACACGTGAGGAACACAAATGCAAACAAGCCTGAATGGTCCCCAGGACTATATACAACTGAAAACTCACACCCCAGAAGTGACTCGAACCCATACTCCCACAACTGGTATGTACAGGGACGCCTTAATCCGCTTGACCATCACGACCGGACATAAGGAAGTGATAGCCGAGGCTATATGAACCACTTCCCCGCCGGCACTCGGATGGTAATCTTGGGCATAGCATTTTATCAAATCACCTCATTCTTTGGGGCACACGTGAGGAACACAAATGCAAACAAGCCTGAATGGTCCCCAGGACTATATACAACTGAAAACTCACACCCCAGAAGTGACTCGAACCCATACTCCCACAACTGGTATGTACAGGGACGCCTTAATCCGCTTGACCATCACGACCGGACATAAGGAAGTGATAGCCGAGGCTATATGAACCACTTCCCCGCCGGCACTCGGATGGTAATCTTGGGCATAGCATTTTATCAAATCACCTCATTCTTTGGGGCACACGTGAGGAACACAAATGCAAACAAGCCTGAATGGTCCCCAGGACTATATACAACTGAAAACTCACACCCCAGAAGTGACTCGAACCCATACTCCCACAACTGGTATGTACAGGGACGCCTTAATCCGCTTGACCATCACGACCGGACATAAGGAAGTGATAGCCGAGGCTATATGAACCACTTCCCCGCCGGCACTCGGATGGTAATCTTGGGCATAGCATTTTATCAAATCACCTCATTCTTTGGGGCACACGTGAGGAACACAAATGCAAACAAGCCTGAATGGTCCCCAGGACTATATACAACTGAAAACTCACACCCCAGAAGTGACTCGAACCCATACTCCCACAACTGGTATGTACAGGGACGCCTTAATCCGCTTGACCATCACGACCGGACATAAGGAAGTGATAGCCGAGGCTATATGAACCACTTCCCCGCCGGCACTCGGATGGTAATCTTGGGCATAGCATTTTATCAAATCACCTCATTCTTTGGGGCACACGTGAGGAACACAAATGCAAACAAGCCTGAATGGTCCCCAGGACTATATACAACTGAAAACTCACACCCCAGAAGTGACTCGAACCCATACTCCCACAACTGGTATGTACAGGGACGCCTTAATCCGCTTGACCATCACGACCGGACATAAGGAAGTGATAGCCGAGGCTATATGAACCACTTCCCCGCCGGCACTCGGATGGTAATCTTGGGCATAGCATTTTATCAAATCACCTCATTCTTTGGGGCACACGTGAGGAACACAAATGCAAACAAGCCTGAATGGTCCCCAGGACTATATACAACTGAAAACTCACACCCCAGAAGTGACTCGAACCCATACTCCCACAACTGGTATGTACAGGGACGCCTTAATCCGCTTGACCATCACGACCGGACATAAGGAAGTGATAGCCGAGGCTATATGAACCACTTCCCCGCCGGCACTCGGATGGTAATCTTGGGCATAGCATTTTATCAAATCACCTCATTCTTTGGGGCACACGTGAGGAACACAAATGCAAACAAGCCTGAATGGTCCCCAGGACTATATACAACTGAAAACTCATTTTGCATTTGTGTTCCTCACGTGTGCCCCAAAGAATGAGGTGATTTGATAAAATGCTATGCCCAAGATTACCATCCGAGTGCCGGCGGGGAAGTGGTTCATATAGCCTCGGCTATCACTTCCTTATGTCCGGTCGTGATGGTCAAGCGGATTAAGGCGTCCCTGTACATACCAGTTGTGGGAGTATGGGTTCGAGTCACTTCTGGGGTGTGAGTTTTCAGTTGTATATAGTCCTGGGGACCATTCAGGCTTGTTTGCATTTGTGTTCCTCACGTGTGCCCCAAAGAATGAGGTGATTTGATAAAATGCTATGCCCAAGATTACCATCCGAGTGCCGGCGGGGAAGTGGTTCATATAGCCTCGGCTATCACTTCCTTATGTCCGGTCGTGATGGTCAAGCGGATTAAGGCGTCCCTGTACATACCAGTTGTGGGAGTATGGGTTCGAGTCACTTCTGGGGTGTGAGTTTTCAGTTGTATATAGTCCTGGGGACCATTCAGGCTTGTTTGCATTTGTGTTCCTCACGTGTGCCCCAAAGAATGAGGTGATTTGATAAAATGCTATGCCCAAGATTACCATCCGAGTGCCGGCGGGGAAGTGGTTCATATAGCCTCGGCTATCACTTCCTTATGTCCGGTCGTGATGGTCAAGCGGATTAAGGCGTCCCTGTACATACCAGTTGTGGGAGTATGGGTTCGAGTCACTTCTGGGGTGTGAGTTTTCAGTTGTATATAGTCCTGGGGACCATTCAGGCTTGTTTGCATTTGTGTTCCTCACGTGTGCCCCAAAGAATGAGGTGATTTGATAAAATGCTATGCCCAAGATTACCATCCGAGTGCCGGCGGGGAAGTGGTTCATATAGCCTCGGCTATCACTTCCTTATGTCCGGTCGTGATGGTCAAGCGGATTAAGGCGTCCCTGTACATACCAGTTGTGGGAGTATGGGTTCGAGTCACTTCTGGGGTGTGAGTTTTCAGTTGTATATAGTCCTGGGGACCATTCAGGCTTGTTTGCATTTGTGTTCCTCACGTGTGCCCCAAAGAATGAGGTGATTTGATAAAATGCTATGCCCAAGATTACCATCCGAGTGCCGGCGGGGAAGTGGTTCATATAGCCTCGGCTATCACTTCCTTATGTCCGGTCGTGATGGTCAAGCGGATTAAGGCGTCCCTGTACATACCAGTTGTGGGAGTATGGGTTCGAGTCACTTCTGGGGTGTGAGTTTTCAGTTGTATATAGTCCTGGGGACCATTCAGGCTTGTTTGCATTTGTGTTCCTCACGTGTGCCCCAAAGAATGAGGTGATTTGATAAAATGCTATGCCCAAGATTACCATCCGAGTGCCGGCGGGGAAGTGGTTCATATAGCCTCGGCTATCACTTCCTTATGTCCGGTCGTGATGGTCAAGCGGATTAAGGCGTCCCTGTACATACCAGTTGTGGGAGTATGGGTTCGAGTCACTTCTGGGGTGTGAGTTTTCAGTTGTATATAGTCCTGGGGACCATTCAGGCTTGTTTGCATTTGTGTTCCTCACGTGTGCCCCAAAGAATGAGGTGATTTGATAAAATGCTATGCCCAAGATTACCATCCGAGTGCCGGCGGGGAAGTGGTTCATATAGCCTCGGCTATCACTTCCTTATGTCCGGTCGTGATGGTCAAGCGGATTAAGGCGTCCCTGTACATACCAGTTGTGGGAGTATGGGTTCGAGTCACTTCTGGGGTGTGAGTTTTCAGTTGTATATAGTCCTGGGGACCATTCAGGCTTGTTTGCATTTGTGTTCCTCACGTGTGCCCCAAAGAATGAGGTGATTTGATAAAATGCTATGCCCAAGATTACCATCCGAGTGCCGGCGGGGAAGTGGTTCATATAGCCTCGGCTATCACTTCCTTATGTCCGGTCGTGATGGTCAAGCGGATTAAGGCGTCCCTGTACATACCAGTTGTGGGAGTATGGGTTCGAGTCACTTCTGGGGTGTGAGTTTTCAGTTGTATATAGTCCTGGGGACCATTCAGGCTTGTTTGCATTTGTGTTCCTCACGTGTGCCCCAAAGAATGAGGTGATTTGATAAAATGCTATGCCCAAGATTACCATCCGAGTGCCGGCGGGGAAGTGGTTCATATAGCCTCGGCTATCACTTCCTTATGTCCGGTCGTGATGGTCAAGCGGATTAAGGCGTCCCTGTACATACCAGTTGTGGGAGTATGGGTTCGAGTCACTTCTGGGGTGTGAGTTTTCAGTTATATATATATATATATATATATATATATATATATATATATATATATATATATATATCTTCAAGGTAGTGCACACTTATGTATTTCTGTTCAGAGCAATGTTTAAGAAATTGCCATAAAAACATTATATCACAATTTGTAACAATTTCGTAAGTAATCAAACCTAAGGATTGGTTTATATTCATCCATTCATGAGTACACAGCACTGACTATCCATCTATCCATTCATCTCAATCTTTTATCTTAATTAACCAGCAGCTATTGGTTACGAAGTAATTATTTGTTTAATCCAAATTACATGAAAATTTTTATATAAGTTTTCTTATAGGCCTATTCTAAGATTTTGTGTACTCTTGAATTATGTATTCTTAGTACAAATTACGGTCTCATATTCATTTCAATCCAATTCCTGTAGTGAGAAACAGAAGTATAAACACCAGGTACATCTTTCTGACGACAGTTTACGGGACCATAGGACACCAAACCAACCTGCAGGAAGGGTGGACCTGTAGTACCTAACATCACTAGAGGGCCACCAGAATCTCCTCCACAAGAATCCTTTCCTTTGATACCTCCAAAGCAAATCTGTAAATTTAAAATTATGTCAATAAATGTTTTACATACGGTATATGGTACGTACGCACGCGCACAAATGCAGATGTGAAACCCCAAAGGTTAGGGAGTCTTTACACTAGTTAACTAGTGATTAAGGAACTAGATCCGATCCTCAGAAAGACATCTAGACGAATACATCACATATGTGCCCTCACAGTTATTGATAAATACATACTTCCTGTGGTGGTTGGTGGATGAAAAACAAGGCAATGCGAAGAAAGACTTTCATGGGGCTTCCTACGCAAGATTTCCTTCCCACGATATAGAGACGCAACCCTGCTGTCGCAACAACGTTACTCTCGACACCATAGCATGTAATCTTGTGTAATATAATTGAAAGTCACCTTCCAGCATTATACAAACTCGCTGATCCTACTCTAGTTTAGTAGAATAACTCAGTATGTCTTAACTATGCATTACTGATTGCAAATCGTGATAACCATTGTTTCAGCAAAAGCACAAGCATAATAAATGGAGACTTTGCGATATTGTTTTAGAATACACTTAAAGGATCTTTTCACATTCCAGTAAATAGATATCTGGGAGTAAGTAAACTGTCGTGGGTTACATCCTAGATAAGATCAGTCGTTAGACTGGGAACCCATTGATAAGCCTAACAGGCTTCCTGTCCACAACTATGGGAAACCAAACCACAAGATAAAAAATCAGTTTAAACCTTAGGCTGTTGCGCATGTCCGTGAGCATTATAAGTAGATATGGTTTGGTATGTGTGGCTAGTTTCCACGAGTGTTTTAGCATCTGGGTTATTGGAGAATAAATGGGCTGACGTTCAGTTGTACTTTCGACTATTATAGATCTCTGGCGAGTGCCCATCTTATGGATAATTTGACAGTTCCCATGTACAAAGCCCTTTTGAGAACACGTCGTCTGTGTATCTCAAATACAAAAGAATTGTACGTCATTCTTTACATTAACTGCGGACCTGGTTGTAACACAGTTGGTAGGTCATGTTCCAGGGAAACTAAGGTCTGAAGTCATCTATATGTTCGTGTACCCACCAGTCAAAAAAAACGCCTCTAGCAGTCACCGTAGTTGTATTTTCTCATCTTAGACACAAAATAAGGTAAATCGAATTGTTTTTATAGTAATCTACTTTTTAACGGAGAGGCGGGAGCTACAGCTAATATGACATGACAGAAGGGTTGACTGCCATCAGATACCATAGTAGTACTTCACTGAAGATTGAATATCTAACTTGAGTGCCAGTTAGCTACTTCTGAAACTTTTTTGTGAGCATCTATAGCCTGGTTGGTAAGATGATCTCATTGTTCAGGCCCAGGTTTGAATCTCTGACAATCAAGGCAATATGGGGCCAGACAGCTGAACGGACAGCGCTTCGGATTCGTAGTCCTGAGGTTCCAGGTTCGATCCCCAGTAGAGGCGGAAACAAATTGGGCAAGGTTTCTTTCACCCTGATGCACCTGTTCACCTAGCAGTAAATAGGTACCTGGGAGTTAGACAGCTGCTACGGGCTGCTTCCTGGGGGTGTGTAACAAAAAGGAGGCTTGGTCGAGGACCGGGCCGCGGGGACGCTAAGCCCCGAAACCATCGCAAGATAACCTCAAGACAGATCGATGTGAATTATTATATACATTATTATACATGTTACAGACCTTTATTTCAATTATGTACGCATTTGACAAGTAAGCATGGATGTTCACGAAAAATCAGTTATTCGCTGAAATGCAAGTTTATATAGAACGATAAGTAACAAAACCTAAGCTATAAACAAACACGTTGTTTCCATTTACCTGTTCATCAACAATGTTTCCTCTGTAGCTAATACTGCAATTCTCTTTACTAACGTATGGTAGCAAGAAGTGCAACAGGACGCTACTGGTAGTACCATTCTCTGTGAAGCCCCAGCCAGCTATGTAGGACTTATGATCAGGAGCAAATTTCGAAACGTCTAGACCTTGAGGTGGTAGACATACTGCACGAATCCATGCTGAAGAAAACATTACAATTTAAATTATGAATGCAAAAATCATGAAAAATTTGTTAATGCAGACCAAATAAATTCCTAAAAAAGTTATGCCAAAATCAGAGAATTATATTTGGCAAATTATAAATAAAATAGGAACTTTAAAGTTAAAACAAACAAAAACTAATTATTGACTGCTAATTAAATGGAAGGTTTAAGTAGCAATATAAGATGGTTACACCAGACAGGAAGTTTGCTAGAATTATTGAGACTCCCCGTAGCCAACGACGGGCCATTCTCCAAGATACAGCCCATAAATGGCCACTGCCTTTAGGACGAAAGGCGGTGGAGTTTCTGATGGGGAAGGAAGAGACAATTGCGCACCGTGTTCCGCAAGGCGCGGTGCGGCCAGCCTGGGTGGCATAAAAAGCGCAGGAAGTCAGGTCTCGACCTCACTCCATTTCCCGGCCCGGTCCGCGATTCACGAAGCAGCTCCACGCTCAGCGCCGCGCCTCATCGACACGTTGGTCAGTACTCTATACTGCATCTCCGGTCTGCTTTACTGTGTACACGAGATTTCTCAAGCAAATGGACCCCATTCCCGCTACTATGGTCCCAGATCTGACGTTCTCTGATCCTTTGGGGCCTTCGACATCCCAAGCCGGTACGGCAGGGGCCCCCTGCCCTACTCAGCAAACCTTAAGGTAAGAAAGTTTCCTGTTCAAGTTAGTCAGGACTATCCCCAGTGCTGGCGTGTGATTGCGCCGTCCCTCGCAGTCCGTTCGTGCCGCCTTAGCTAGTTCCCTAGGGCCTTCCGCCTGTTTGCCTGCCTGGGGTTGCAGGTGCGCCTCCAGGTCGGGACTGGTGTGCTGGTTATCTGCGGCGACTCCACGTGGCCAGGTTTCGGTGGTCCTGTGCCCCCTGGGGCCCGGCCCTAATGCATGCTCGGTGGAGCATTCGTCCCAGGTGTGCCCTCCCAGGCGTTTATATGGAGCCCGGTTTGCTGTGCCCCTAGGCTTGCCCCTAGGGGCCATGTTTCGCCCGCGCCTGGACGTGCGTGCATGGCCAGGCTCCCTACTGTGGTCTGGCATCGCCCTTTGTGGCGATGCCACATGGCTGGTTTCTGTGGACCGGAGCCCTGGGGACCAAGCCCCGTAGGCGGCGCCCACGTTGTGGGAACCGACCTGTGAGATTTATATTTATTTAATTTATATGAATTTATATTTACGTTAATTTATATACTTCGATAGCAATTTGTATAATGATAAGTGGACTGTATTTCTGCAATAATCTCTTAATCTCACAAATCGATCCTCTACACATTAGGGGGGTTTATTAAATTAATATATATGCAGCCAATCAAACTACAGTAATAGACTACATACATTGAAGAGGTTCCTTATCTTATAGTACAGCAGGTTAGTCCACCAGGTATAACTAGGGTGTAGACACCAAATTATCCTCTTTGAGGTAGCTTCCATCACCCAGTAACTGGTGCACAAAGTCCTTGCTTCCTCGTCTTGACCTGTCAAAAGGGCGCTAGCTGTAAAGCCAGATACCTATATATGACAAGCTATATCAGAGAAAATACTGTACATGGAACAATAAAGACCTGGCTTAATTACCTTTAGTTTGAGGCGATCTCATGCTCTAACCGGCCCACCCTACCCAATGACATTAATGGCCATAAATGAAAGATACATGGGTTTCGGAAAGAACACTTAACTTGAATTTGTTGACAGCGTGTGATAATGGTACACCTTTGGTTTCCATAACACTTCGTCCAAGTAAATTAACAGGAGCCGAATTTGCTCCCGTGTGAGCCTCTGGTCTAGTATCAACAATGGCTGCCCTCCTTCCCCACTGACGCCTGGCCTACATTGTCCAAATGTCAGAAAGTGATAGAAGGGTCACATTTACTCTACTTTAATACTGATAATTAAGTTAATTTATATGAGATGTTTTTCTGATGGTAAAGTCCAAAGACTAATGTATTTAAGAATAATTCCCACCATAATAGGTGGTGATTTATAATAGTATGTGGTGATGATATCCCGTTTTCTTTAGACGGTAATTCCACTACAAGTTACGTTTTCTATGGGTTAACTTGCTTATACAACACAGCTATTATCTGTATGATTATTAAATGGTGTCGGATTTTCCGACATAATTCCCCAGGGGCTGCTCACGGGTCGAAGTCCTCTTTAGAACAGATGAACACCGATACTCCTCCTTCGAATTATTTGATTAATTTGATGTTAGTAGTTAGTAATCACACATTTGTGCGTCTGTTCGTACAGGACGGATGTCCCGTACTAGAGTTGCAGGGGTTAGAAGTCTAATGCGATTTCATTTCCCTGTCAACTCTTGAAAGGCTAATATTCAAGCCTTATACATATTATTTAACCCAGAAGACTGAATGTGATCAAGTACTACAGTCAAGTATGATTCAGGGACTGCAGTGAGATCAGTGACATTAGATATAACTTGAAGTTTCTTCAGGTAACTGGTCACTGATATATAAACACTGAGGCCCATGGAATACATCTTGATTAAATAATAAATGTATCAAATCAGTCATCAGATTTATTGGGGTTTAATTTAGTTAATTGATTCAGAAGATTGAATAGCTCATCATTAAAGTAAAGTATGGTTCTGAGACTGCAGTGGGTTCAGTGACATTGGTCGCAGTGACTTGTAGCTGTTTTAGGCTACTGTTCACTGATTTGCCACTGAGGCCTCATGAACTCATCTTCAGCTTTAAATGATGATACTAACATCAACCTCTGTTACTATAGTCAGCTGTAATCTCCTTAGTATACAATACAATACAATACAATACAATACAATTTTATTTAGGTAAGGTACAAACATACAATAAATATTTACAAGGATTGTTTGACTTATAGGTAGAGCTAGTACATACAATGCCTAAAGCCACTATTACGCAAAGCGTTTCGGGCATAATAAATGATTCGTAATTCGGGCATAGAGAAATATAATCAGCTGACAAATTTAGATTTCTACTGGTATTGTTTATCTGCAGGCATAGGTCTCCTCAGGCTTGATACTGGGCCTGAGAGTAATTTACCTCCTGCAGAGTTTAACATGGTTATACCCTGATATTTAGTAGGGCTACCGATGAATCGATGGCAATAGTCTGTCCCAACAAGGACACCGAAGTCGGTGAGGTGATCAGACTTAATATTATCTGCCAATTTTATTCCTCTATTTCTCAGGAATTTGGCTGTTGCTCTCAGACCTTGAACTTGTAGGTCTACTGGTATTTTGTCCACTACAATGGCTTGTACTCGACAGACGTACCTGCCTAAGCGTACTGATGGTTGTACCACCTGGTAGACTTGAGGTCCTGCATCTGTTACAAACCCTGAGATGTTGAACGACATCTGGGCTACAGGCCTTAATTATAATTCATCTGCCAGCTTTTTAGTAATATATGTTCTCTGGGATCCTTGGTCAAACAACCCACGGGTATGGACCTTGGCCCTCTTATTCAGGATGGTAATTTGGGCAGTAGGCAAAGTCGTATTACCTTTAGACTTTGCCGATTGGACACTCTTTGTTGGTTGCACCTTGCAGTACTGTACTGTGGTGGGAATGCTATCTTCCACCTTGGGTCTTGAATACGTTAATTTCGTATATTTGCACAGTGCTGCATGGTGTCTACCTCTTCTACACCTGTTGCAGGTGTTGAATTGGGTATCACAATAGTCTATGTTGTGTGACTTGAGACACCTTGCACATCTCCCTAATTCCTGGAGTCGCTCCATACGAGTGTCTCTGGTTGGATAATTAGCACAACGGTATGTTGAATGTTTCTTTTTGCAGAACATACATGTCCCCCAGCCTACTGCACGTTTGGAAGTTACCGGTTTGGGTGAACTAGTAACAGTAGGCTTGGAGGTTGCTGCTGCATTGTCAGATTTTCTGCAACTTGATGTTAGAGTAATTGACTGATGTTTATTTGGGGTAGTTGTTTTACCCTTTAATTGACTCTTATTTTCTATTTCTGAAGGCTTGCATGAGGCTTTAACTTCCTCATTTGCTCGTCGTTTGTTTATGATGGAATGTAAACCTTCAGTGATGTCCTGTACTGTCAGGATGGTGTTATGTTGATGTGCATATAATTCATCTAGTATATCGCTGGACAATTTTCGTTGAAGGACTACTTTGGTCATCCATTCACTAGTAGTTATATCAACCTTAAGACTGAATATTCTTAGTAGTGACTCAAACTCCATGCTAAAGGATTGTAATGAGTCAGCAGTCTGATCAGGTTGAGGTAAATCCAGCAATTGTAGTACTAGATGTATGACAGTTTTCTCATTGCCAGCATTATTCCTAGGTGGCTGGACTGGGAAATTAGTGCTGTCGCTATTTTCATTTACATTTTCTACTACTGGTTCAGCTTCACCTCTAGCTTGGAGGCATGTTAACTTAGTAGCCTCAGGTATTGGGTTTTCAGAATCCACAGAGACTGTGGATAAATTGTCTGAGAACTGCTTAATTTCTGGTGGTATAATATTAGGTGAAGCTGTAGTGGGTGAAGCTTTACTGGGTGAAGCTTTATCCTTGTTGATTAAAGGATCTAATCTGGCTTGACATTTATTCTCAAAAAGATCCAGATCATCCATAACATTATCTACTTTATTTGATGTACTTGCTAATTGTTCTGATTCAATTATCCTGTGTAAATGTTCCAACCTGCCTTGAGTTTCTTCTTCATATTGTGCTAGGTCAGACAGGAATGGTTCCACATCTTCAACTACTACGTCATCGTGGACTTGATTTTGGTAAGATTTCCTATTTGCTTTCAATATATGCAATTGGGTTTGAATCTGTAACAGTGGTATTTTCAACCGATGATAATTAATTACAGGCTCATATAACAACTGTTCATATTGGTTGAGATCCCTTGTTAGTTGGCGTTTGCTTGCTATTAAAGCACGCTTTGCTTTCTGTGGATTAGTCATGGTGACTTGTTAATTGGGCACCACTGGCTCATAAATTGTGAGCAAGTACTGATGGTAGCCTAGGGTAAATTCTGCACTCACTAGGCAATAATCCTACCTCTACTAGAGGTTAGCACTTAAAATTAATACATTATATATATACAATCATACACACTAATGATTTGAGTGATAAACCAGT